GAAATATTACAAAATGACATTCACGACGAAGTGGAAACCCCATTACAACAGTAGCCTTCACCAAATTGCATGCTTCAAGGTCACAAAATAGTAAATTACAAGTCTCAGCTACTAGACTTCGCCGAGGCGAGTGAAGAGAGCTTAGAACTCGCAGCGTAGCAAAACTATCACTGGTGTATTGTTTACCTGTCAGAGCCGCGCGGTAGGGGTCGGTCCTCCCGCGGTCTTGGCTAGTGGCTGCTGTAATACTTGTTGGCGTTCAGTTCAGAATCCTTTATCTAGGCCGTCATCGATGTAAAAACTTAAAATTTATCGTAATTTGAACCCAAAAGAAGGATAGTAATAGTAATTCGGAGAACATTACATATTGAATTCATTGTAAGAATTACATGTTTTTTTTCTGTTACTAAACTGTAGAGTGACCATGATGTCAAGGTCAATGAGTTGGGTGGTGTATGTAGCACGCATAGTGAAGATGAGGAAGGTATCACATACAAAAAGAACCCACCTTGTAGGATTTGAGGTTTTCACAGCGGTGAGTCATTCATCGCCCTGATGACGGAGGCAAGTATGACCTCTGAAACGTTGGTGGACATCGACCAGACTACACAGCGCAATAACCCAGAAGACAGAAATCTTCGAGAAGTCACCACTTGGGAGACAGGAGTAAATGAGGTATAATATTAAAATCGATCTTACAGAAATAATATGAAGAGCTGGACTAGATTCGACTTCCCGAAGATTTATTAAATTGATTCGATTTTATGAATTTAGTGATGAAAAGTTGGGTTGCATAAAAACAGGGAATTTCTTAACCCGATGTGTGGGGAAGACTAGACAAGAGCTGACGGTCAGCCAGCTAGTTCCTACTCCATGCGCTTCTAACACATGCATGGAACGTCTCTACAGTGTGCTGGGAGATGTTACAGACACACGTGCATTCTGCCCGTGGCCTCTCGTCTGTATTATTCTTTTGCTTTTGTTTTTTCGTTGCGTGAGTTTTATAATTGAAGGATTATGGGTAAACCTTCCTTCGGTCTGTTCTAAGCCAGCTTTTGAAATGGAGTTCCCTTGGGACAACAGTGTTGTAGTAGCATCTGAAACTTCATTTTAAACGCATAGAATGTGTGGTAACAGTACGGTGGAGTACAGCGGGCTTTGCAGTTACTATTCTTTGATATCTGTAGGCTTTCGCGGCTGGAGTTCAATATATATTTATTTTATATTGGCGACAAGTGATGCCAGGTTTTATTTTTCGAATTTTCGATGTCGTCACCCCGCTTTGCCTATATTTTATCTTTTATAACTGGCTACGACTTTTACGATTGTGGTTGGACGCCTCGCATGGACAGGATTTTTATAGCCACCACGTTCACACCAGCTGTACCTGCGAGGTAAAATTCTGTAACCCGAAGTTAATTATCCACTTGACTATAGACTCCAAGTTTAGATTTGCGACACCCGAAAACATTTTTTTTCTTCACTATGAGCCGTCGGACGTCATTAAAGACACTACTAGATCAGAGGTTATTAAAATGTGGTTCGGGAGTTTAATTCAGGTGGTTCACGGAAAAACTGGGATTACAGAATAGTATGATATAAGAAATGTAAACAAGTAATTTTTCCACTCGGATTGAAGTAGTTCGGACACACCTTGTTCGTTCTGTGGGGTGACAATAACACGTCGATTCCGACAAGTATAGAAATCCTAGTTCACAGTGAGCCGTTAGTTGCAGGAAAGAGTTATGAAATTCTGAATACTGCTTGTCACAACCATCAATCACTGGCCTAATAACACTAAAACACTTGAATCAGTGGTGTTAAATAGCGGACTGCTTAAATTTTTGTAATATTTTATAACTCTGTGTTGAACCCAATGTTACCGTCTAAAATACATATTTGATTTTAAGTTAATTATTACTAAAACAGCAAAGCAACAAATTTGTAAATTATTTTAGTATAATTTCTAATTAATTATCGCAAAATTTCAATGAAATGTTGCCATATCGGCAGCTCTCGGTTTAATAAAGTAGGATAAACGTAGACTCAGTTCTGTAAAGGTTGAATCGCTGGCTTAAACTGCTATCAGCAATTTTGTATGTAGGAACAGACTTAGTACAATTAATTTTAACAGGATTTACCGTAGACAACGCAACACTAAACATCACACTTCCTAATACCGTTCATAATCACCGCAGCATTTATGATACACCTATTATTTTTACATAAAACAGGATAAAGTAACCCAACAGGAATAAACAGAAACATCGACAAAATCCCCTTCCACCCTTAATTCACAATCAGCATCATCATAAGCGTACCGTGTTACTGCATTGACCTGATGCCTGTCTGTTGTTCTCATAAGGATGTGACGTCACGTAAACCGCACCTGAAGGCCACTAGGAAGTCAGTATTTTGTCGCTGTTCAATATGTCTTACTACTCGTGAACCGGATGTAGTTCCCAGGGCTATTGGATTGCTGCGTTCACCAGGACAAAGCCATTCTCGATTTTCGTTCGATAACCACACATTCGAAGCCGACTTGTTACAGGAACTTTAAATACCCTGAGAATTAAAGCCGTCAGGAGTTCCGCTTCCAGGGAGGACGACACAAAGTAAGGTGCTAGGTTGGGAGATCGTGTAAGCCTGTTGCGTGGTTTCCATGACGCTTGGCGGACGAGTCTGTCGGTGGTGTTTAACAAGCTCATTAGGAAGGCGAAAGGGTTTTTAACCTTGTGCAAGGAAGCAACAACAGTGTCTGGAGTTCAGTATAGTGTTAGTCTAATTCTCCTTATCGTGCATTAGGTAATAATCCGGTTACCATTTGTTTTCTTTGATACTTCACACAACAAAAGGTTGGCGTACTGAATTAACCCGGCGACAGGAAACTCTCGGAACACATACGCGACTACAGAGTATACAGAAGTCAACAATGTAACAAGTTGTGATGAAAGGGATATTAATTAACGTGCATAGTTTTTGGTGGATTAAGGTATGTTAGAAATAATTGAAAAAAATGTATGAACAGTTAAATCCATGAATCGGAGTTATTCTTGAGAAGCCGGTTGTCGCTTAGCTGACCAGGGAATTCCCAGAAAAATTCCAGATTAATTTTGTACCTGTTGATTTCTCCAAGAACCATTTCTTGTATCCAAAATGGTCTCTTTCCTTGAGGTTATTTTTACCAAAATCTTTTTTATGTATTTTAACATCTTCCACGCGCGGTACATGCCTCGCCTGTTCCGCCCTTCCTGACTTGATCATTTCAACTAAATTGGTCACTAGTACAAATTATGAGCATGCTTACTGTGTAATGTTTTATGCGCAATTCCTATGCCCTCTCGCTTAGATCCGAATATTATCAGCACCGTGATAAAAACGCTTTTAAACTTCGTTCTTCCCACAGGAAGAAGACACCAAGTTTCAGACCTTTATAATTTTTTTTTCTAAACTTACATTTTAATCTTATGTTTGCACACAGGAGGCTGATCATCAGCATACATAATCACGAAGTTAGTCTGTTGATAACATCTCCACACTCTACGTCACTGGAGTAGTACTTGAAGTTCTGTTTTATTAGCTGTCTAATCGTCATTGGTTTTGGGAAAGTTTAATATTCCGTTCGATGTAAGTGTTGCAACTATATTTTTTGTACTCATTGAATTTCTCATTTGGACATTGAAGTTTAGTTCCGAAAGAATCGTTATTAAATGGCATGAAACTTTACTTAACAGATGATAACTTGATATAATGAGATGATAAAGTTGCGTCATATTGTGATAAATATATATTTGTTTAAATCTTGTCAGTCTAATCACAATAAAATTCTATTAAATATTAAAATATTACTAAAATTAACATTTAAATATTTAAAATGATGTTCTTTATTTTTT